GAACTCTTATCTTTTGGGTCTCCTGCATTGGCAAATGAGTTCTTTACCACTGCGCCACCTGGGAAGCCCACAATAATCACAAACAACTAATTTTTATTTACTAAATGATTAACTCACTTCCCCATTTTCCCCCCCGTTTTTTATTAAAGACAGAGCCCTCTCATGAGCAGGAATGTTCCTTCCCCTCCCCCACCCCAAGACAGAGGGATGGCAAGCTGGGCCATCACATTACAAAATGTTATTTTGTGCTGGCTTTAGGAAAAGAGGGGCATTTGGTGACTCATGAAACCAAAAGGTTCTAGCTTCAGGCCAGGCTGGATCCAGGTGCTCAGAGAGCAGCAGGTGGAAGCCATCTGCCAGCTCTCAGTGTGGCTCTCCTCTGCCTTGGCTGCACCAGGTGCTCCCTCCATGGAGAGGCCTCTAGAGAACAGTGTTGGAGGCCACCAGGCCAGGAACCCCAGATGCAGGGGAGCATTGGCATTCCAGGGACCCCCAAAGTCCCAGGACAGCTGCTGTCTGGCCACACTGGTGATGTGCACTGCCCCAACTTTCCCCTGGTGGTTCTTAACCAGCCACACCTGGGACTCACAGCCATCCTGGAGCCCAGGGACAGTGTCAGCCCCTGGACCCACTGGAGTGAAAGGGGGTGGTTCCCAAAGGAAAAGCAGGAGCTGCTGCCACCAAAAGAAGGCATTGGGCTTGGGCAGCGAGAGGCCTTGGGCTTGCTCAGGAGTGTATATGTTTCCAGGTGCCCAGAGTAGGGCTCAGGAGAGGAAGAGAAGGTGGAAGAGGGCAGGGTGTTCCCTTAGCCTTCCGGAGGGGCAGCCCCCTGTCCTAGCCTGTTTTCCTGAAGCACATTTTCCACATGACCTGGGTGGTTGGGTCCAGGTTCCTCTGCCCTCCCTCCTACCTCTCCCTTCTCTCTCCCACTTTCTTGGCTCCAAAAGGGCAACTTCTTCCAGCTCCTGTGCACCACACACAGAACATACAGCAGGTGCCACTGTGTGCTTTGGGTTAAGATCAGCACAGTCAAGTTCATTCCCAAGGCTCATAGGAGCCCTTCCCAGATGTACCACCAGGCAGGTCTCCCCACTGTACTCGTCATCCAGGGACTCAGGTGAGTCCCAGAAGGACACAGTGGGGTGGGGACCCACTCACACCCCACATCCCCTATGGTGCCTAGAGGGACCCAGGGGGCGGGAGGATGGAGTCCTGGCCCCTACTGGCTACTGAATGTGGGATATGAGCCGGTTGCCCAGCCTCCAGGCCCCCAACTGTCAGGGCCTGCTGAGTGTAGAGCTGATCCCACTCCTCTCTGTGGGGAGTCCCTGAGGACACAGGCTCCAATAAATGTTGGTGGAAAGGTTCCTGCACCCCCTGAGCCCAGCCACGAGTGTCGGGATGGGAGGTGGAGGCAGGGGCTAGATGGGGTGGGTCTCCCCATGGCTCAGACCTCCAGAAGCCCTGCCAGCTGATCCCAGGCTTCTCCCATCATGACCCTGATGCCCCAAAGGACTGCTGAGTAATTTAGCCTTTTGTAGAAGGATGGGAGCTGCCTGCCAGTGTCCTGGAACTTCACCCCAGGGTGGGAAGGACCCACACCCAGCAGCTGCACAGAGCCAGTTCCTAGGGGGCTCTCCCAGAGCCAGCACCGCAGTGGGAGGGGTGGCCAGACAGATGGAGCCAGTGCCAGCCCCGGGAGGGGGGACCCTGGAGACCTGTTGGCCCTGAGCCCTGCTTCCCTGAGGGCCAACATCTGGCCCTGAGGGGAGCCAGGTCACCCATGAGTGCCCAGGACAGAACCCTGCCTCAGGCCTTTGCCCAGTTCTTCGGCTGTGTGCCTCTGCCAGTCTCTGCACTTGTCCTCCCAAATCCCCCAGGTAGCCACTATTAGGGCTGGGCTGACACAGGCAGGCCACCCTGACTGCGTTCCATCCTAGGGCCTCAGGCTCACTCTCTGGTGGCCTCGTTGTCCTCAGAAGCAAGGCCACCCTCCTCATCTCGGCCTCCAGGCCCCGGAGCATCACTGCTGTCCATCTGGGTCCCTTTCACTTACATGCCCTTCTTTCAGCCCATGGGCTCAAACCCACCACTAGGGTCAGTGGAGGTTTGTGGAATGAAGGAATGAAACAACAGCTCTGAAGACAGGCTCCCTGTCCACATGGCTGATGAGTCAGGCGCCCCCCCCACCGTTGGTCCCCCCAACCCCGTCTTCCACCCCCGTAGGAACGGCCCTGCTTATGGGCCAGTTGTTTGTCTACCTGCCTCCCACCAGCCCATGGCCGGCTCAGAGCCCGGCACACAGTAGGTGCTCAGTAAACAGCAGCTGCCGATGTGGGTGGCGCCCACGGGGGTGGCAGCTCCTGCCTCTGGGCTTTGTCTCTGCTCCCAGCAGTGGATCCGAGGAGAAAGGCCCCCTTGGCGGGTTTGTTTGTGGCAGGACACGACCCAATAGACTTTGTGTCTTTCTTCTCTCCTCCTCCACCCCTGCAAGGGAGCTTGGGGAGCGGCAGTTGCCAGAGATTGAAGGCAAAATTGCTTGAAAGCCTGCACTTTTATCCTCCAATTTGTAGCCATTTAGCAGGGCCGGGCTGAGGGGCAGCACGGGCTCTGGCTGTGCGGGCAGCACAGAGGCGCCCACTGCTGCAGAGAATGGGTTCTTTGTCCTTCTCCAGACAGCTCTGGGCTGTGAGATGACACCCACAGACCGGGGGCCAGGCGGGTCTGCAGGACCGCAGGGAAAGTCAGTGGCCAGCCTCACCCCAGGGCCCAGAGCTGTGAGGGCTTCCCCAAGCTCCGGCCGCAGGCAGTGGGTGGCCTCTGCCGATCCTGCCTCACTTCCCTGCTCCCAGTGCTCAGCTCCCGACAGTGCCCAGGCCCAAAGTGGACCCGAGGCTTGGCCCTCCCTTGAGCCACTAACAAGACTGTTGCCCTGCCTGGACCAGAGGGGTCTCTCTGGTAGACGGAGATGATGGAGGGGAAGGGGGACCAGTTTGGTGAAAAAAATGTCTGGAAGAGGAAGGTTGTGGGTTTTAAACATTGTGAATAGCTGAGCCCCTGCTGTAGTGGGAGTCAGCACTATCTGGACCTCACTGCTGGATTTGGGAGCCACGGCACCCAGCCGTAAGGCACTGAGGCCGCCAAGTGTCTCTCAGCCAGAGGAAGAGAGGATGTGGTCAGGACTGTGGATGCTGTGCCGGCACAGCAGAGGGTGTCCGTGAAGTCAGGGCAGGGAGGGTCCTTGTGGCTGGAAAGGAGGGGAAGATTCCTGGAGGCAGTGGCATCTGACCCACCCATGTTTATGTCACCCCTAGGTTGGGCTGGTCTTGCCCTCTTTCCAAGTGGACTCTGGGCAGCTGGGCCAGTGTCTGCCCCTCTGTGGAGCCCAGTGGGCTCAGGCTCGCCCAGCACCGTCCTCCTCATCTCCTTCTCCCTGTCCCCGTCCATCACACTCGGTCCCGCCTCCAAGTTGTGGCCAGGAAGCCACGCTACCAGAGATGCCTCCCCACCTTGGGCCATCGTCCTCTTGAGCTCGGCTCCAGCCCCCACACCCCTGAAAGCTCCCCATGGCTGAGAACAGTGAAAACTCCTGTCCTGGGGCGGGCAGGCTGCAGCAGGTGGGAGCTGTGCCGTGTATTTTCAAGCCTGAAGTGAGAGGGAGTGGCGGGTGGGGCACTGCTGGGACACGGTGTCCCTTATTGAGGTTAAACCCTCATATGACTGCCGGCTCGCCTTCTCTCCCCATCACAGTGCCCCCTCCCCCTCTTGAAGAGACACTGCAGCCAGGTGGAGGGGCAGACTTGCATCTCATGCCCGCCTGGGTGCTCCTGTGTCCCTGCGGGTTCCAACTGATGCTCGGCCACCCCCATGAAGTCCTCAGGAATCAGCACCAATAAAAAAATACACTTTACTGTGTGGACTTCAGGGTCTGCAGGGGCAACACGGCAGGTGTGTGGGGAGCAAAGCATGCAGCGCGCCAGCCAGTGCACGGATGCAGCGAAGCGGCCCCTCTGCTGGGCTTGGCCCCCGGCCCCTGGGCTCCTCTGACTGCCTTGAGAGGACTCTCAGGGCTCGGCTGTTTCCCTCTCCCCAACCAGGAAACTCGGGTTGAGCAGATGGAGCGGGAGGGGCAGCCTCCTGGACAATCGGGCGTCCGGGGCTCCGGCCACCCTCAGAGCCTCCCGTCGGGGCCCAGTACCTGAGCTCGGGGCGGGGTGGGCAGAGCAGCTAGCTCGGCTCAGCCAGAAGCGGCACACGAGGAAGGAGGGCGTGGGAGCCCACACCTGCCAATCCAGCCCCGAGCGCCGCAGCAATTTTGTCTCTTTTGATTAAACATCTAGGGAACATCGAGTTCATGGACGTGTTTTCTTCTTCTCCATCTTCGTGAAACACCCAGAATGGAGACGCAGAGACCTGCTGTGAGCAAGGTTCCTGGGGAGCGCCCGGCACTTTGGGAGCAGATGAAGTTGGAGGGAGGAGGGATGAAGGACCGGGTCCGGCCTCAAGCAGGGGATGGACAGCAGCAAAGCCAGCAGCCAGGGCTTGTCTGGAACAGGGCAGGTGTGCAGGCATGTGCAGGTGTGTGTGCGTGCAGGGGCCGAGCGCTGGCCCCAGAGGCCTGGAGCACACGCCAAGCACTTGCTTTGGGAAGAACACTGAGCAGTAACTGTGAGAAGCAAGGACATGACCAGCCATCACACTGTCCGTGGGGGTGGACAGAGTGACTGGAGCCCTGGGTTGTCCCTCCTGGGCTACAGCAGGACTTGGGTGGCATCATTTTGGCTCACGCAGCAGGGGCCCTTCTAGTCGCCCACCAAGCTGCCTCCACTGCCAGCGGATGGTCTGAGAGGCTGCCATGGCATTTAGGGTGGGCCAGAGACAAGGCAGAGCACACGCCTGCAGGGCGGCCAGGTAGATGTGAAGGCCCAGCTGCCCAGGAACCCAGGGCCTCAAGGGCGTGGCAGTGGCCTCAAGCATCCCGGGTGCCATGGAAGGCCAGCTCACTTCCAGCAGTGCTCCAGGGAGCTGTGGGGCTGGATCTTGAGCTTCTGAGGGCAGAGCAGCTTGGTGAAGGCCCGGCGGAAGCTATAGTGGCACAGCGGGTAGAGGATGGGGTTGACGGCCGAGTTGGCCCACAGCAGCCAGAAGGACGTCTCGTACCAGTAGTCGGGGATGCAGTGGCCATGGCAGGCGGCCCGAATGATCATCAGGAGTGTGTAGGGGGCCCAACAGAGCCCAAAGATGCTCACGATGACGGCCAGCGACTTAGCCACCTTCTTGTCCCGTGAGAGCCGGAAGCGCTGGGTGATGCTCTGGGATACCATCTTTATGCGCTTCTCCAGGGACGCCGAGGATGCGGACGGCTTGGAGCCACGCTTGAGTGAGCGAGGCCTCTCAGTGCCCCTTGAGGAGCTGCCGGAGCTGGAGGTGGGCGAGGCCGCAGCACCCCCACCGCTACCACCCCCAAGGGCCACCTCCCCTGCCTCAGGGCCCGGGGTCACCTCGCTGACCCCCACCCCATACCTGTGCAGCGGCACGGCTTCCCCGCACCCTTTCTGCCAGCATCCCCAGCAGCTGGGTGCGGCAGGCGGTGGAGAGGGCTGGGCCTCGGGCGGAAGCTCGGTGGTGGCTGCCTCACGCACTCCATCCAGCCGGACACGGGTGCGCCTCTGGATGTTCAGGTAGATGCTGAGGTTGAAGAAGGTGACGCTGAGGAAAGGGGTGAAGAACTCGAGGGTGGAGGCCGTGATGAGGAAGTACCAATTGTAGAAGAACTCGGCATAGCAGTGGCCCTCGGGGATGGAGCTGCCACCAGACAGGTACTCCCAACTCAGGATGGCGGGTCCATAGAGCAGGAAGGCCAGCACCCACACCAGCACCATCTTCTGCACCGCCCGCCGTGTGTCACCCTGCTGGGCCCGGTAAGAGACCTGCGGTGGGACACGCTGGGTCAGGAGGCAAGGGGACTGAGTCCAGGGCACAGTGCCGCCCAGAGCTCCGGGCAGCCTCCAGGCCTCTGTGCAGGGGCCTCCTCGGCAAAGATGCCTTCCCTTCTCCTCCATGAACCCCAGGTAGGCTGAGGCCTGTGACTCTCCCATGGGCTCAGAACCGCCCCTCAGAATCCTAATTTTGTGCCAGGCTGCCTGTCAGCTATCCCCCGCCAGCTGTGCACTCCCCAGGAGTCACGTCACTGTCCAGTCTTTTGAGGACCCGCCGTGTGTCCTGCTCTGTGCTCGGCACCTTTGATATCATCTCATTTAATCTTCACACCTGCTCCACCCTGGTTCCCACATTCTTGATGGTTCAGGTCAGGCAGGGAAGAGGGGTGGAGGTGGAGGGGCTCCACGGGCAGAGCTGGCTCCAAACCCACGCTCTCTGCACCCTGACCCACTGCCTCCCTAGACCAGGACACACACAGCCCCAGCAGAGGGAGCCTGGTAGAGTCGTCAGAGGAGACAGCACCAGACTGACCTCTGCTGCAGTGCTGCTGCCAGCCCTGTGCCAGCGTGACTCCAACATGGGAAGTGTAGGCAGTCCAGTGTCCCTAAGTGTGGCCACCCACACCCAGGGCAGCTCATGGAGCCTGTCTTTCTGAGGCACACACCCCCGCGGGGAGGTTCCACCTGGGGCCCTTGGCCCCAGATAGTCCCTTAGTTCCAGGGACTTTGGACCTGCTCCACGGTGGAGGCTGGAGTGATCCCCTCTTTCAGGTGGCCCCTTCTGCCCAAACCCAGACCAGTCCTACTGGCAGCAGATGGCTAATGAGCAGGCAGGTGGTTACAGAATGCCTGAGGTGAGCGGACCCCAAGCCCACCCAGCACCGCCCATTCAGAAGTGGCCATACCCCCTGACTGGTGTGTCTCCTGGCCGCCTCTGGCCACCCTGCCCCCTGGGAGCGAACACGGGCACCCACATCCCAGACTCACGGCTCGGGTGACCGACAGGAAGCGGTCATAGCTGATGAGCACGATATTGAAGACAGAGGAGGTGCAGAGCAGGTAGTCCACCACCAACCACAGCTTGCAGAGGCCCCGGCCGAAGGGCCAGCGACCGGTCAGCACGTAGGGCACATAGAGTGGGATGCAGAATGCCCCTGTGGGAGAGGAGGGCCATGGGTGGGCAGAGCCCTGGGGTCAGACCCCCCCACAGCTGGGAGATAAGCAGGACCTGGGGTCACATAATGGGCCCCTTTCTGGGACCAGCAATCCCCCCTCCGCCTCCTTCCTAGGCATGCTCTGAGCCCTGCAGACATGCTCTGAGCCCTGCACCTGGCCTCCAACCCTTGCCCCACCCCCAGCCCCACTGTGTTCCTGGACTTGGAAGCAGGATAAAGCTCCAGCGGTAGGGCCCACTGGGCACAAGGAGACCCAAAGCGTCATTCCTGGCCTTTCGTTAGTCCTTCCAGTGCCTGAAGGAAGGAAGGAGAATTTCTTTCCTCTCCAGCCCGTTGCACCCCAGCTCCTATCCTGGCCTTTGGGTAGCTCCTCCTCATCGGCTCAGAAGCCGAGAAAACATTTCTCCGGACTCAAAGGGCACTTGACTGTTGCCACGCGGGCGGCTCCCACCGCCAAACCCTGCTCTGAGCAGCTGGCAGACGCTCCTCTCAGCCCCAACAGGTGTCTGGCGCTCCGGCCCCCTCCTTGCGCCCCGCCCCCCCAGCCGGCAGCAGCGCACGGACACGTGAGAGCGCGCGCTTCAGAGCATGTCCCCAACCCCCCCTTCCCCGCGGCCTCCTCCCCCAACACGGCTCTAAAAATCTCCCTTCCACGTCCCCTCCCCCCAGCCTCCCCCCAGCACTCTCCCCGCGTCCTGAGTCCGCTGCAGCCTTTGGCTACGGCGCGGGAGCCCGTGCTGCACCGTGGCCGCAGCGCCTTGCGCCTTGCTGAGCGCCCGCTTGCTCGGACCCCTTCCCCGGGGACGTCCTTCCCCAGCCCGAGTCCCGCGGCCCGAGAGGCAAGGAACTTCTCCTGTGCCCACCTCCCCAAAGTCCTGGACACCCCCTACTCAGGCCTGACTCCCTAGCGGGGTGTGTCCCCGAGGAAAAGCACCCTAGGTCCACGTTCCAGCCCCCGCTGACGCGACCCAGCTGGGCGCCCCTGACTCGGGTGGGGGCTGGGGGCTTTACCCACGAGGAAGTCGGAGATGGCGAGGTTGAGCAGAAAGAAGTTGTTTTGCGTGCGGAGGCTCGAATCCGCCACGAAGGCGAGCATGACCAGCGCGTTGCCCAGCACCGTGGCCACGATGAGCAGCGCCATGAGCGCCGCCAGCACCGCGGTCCAGGCGGCGGAGAAGCCGCGCGCCCCGCCCGCCGCCGCCGCCGCCGCCTCGCCCGCCAGCGCCCCCGACGCGTTCAGCGGCCCGTCGGGCGATGAGCGCTCCATGGCCCCGCCGGCTCACGCAGCGCCGGAGCGCGGGGCAGGGTGCGGACCGCCGGCCGGGCGGCCAGGAGGGGCCCCGGTCCGGGAGCCTGGTCTTTGCGGGCTCTCGGCCCGGCCGGGTTCCCCGTTGGATGCCCGGCGCATGGTCCGCGGGCGCCGAGACGGGGGCCGGGGCGGGCCGCGCCCAGGGGGCCCGGCCCGGAATCTGAGCCGAACCGGGCCAGCGGCACGACCGCTGCAGCCTGAGCGGACCCGGGGCGGAGCTGGAGCCCGAGCCGCTGCCTGAGCGTCCGTGCGCCCGGAGTGCCGCGCGCGGCGGAGTGAGCCCCGCGCCCAGCCTGCGGCCCCCCGCGCCCCGCTCAGCGCCCCCGCCATTGGCTGCCGCCCTCGCCCCGCCCCCGCCCCGCCCGGCGCCGGCAGCACCACGGACAGCGCCGCGTGCACGCCGGGCCGCCGGAGCCCCAGCCCAAGTGCGCACGCCGGCTGGCGAAGAGCCTGGCACGGCGGGCGCCCGAGCTGGGGGCTCGCCTGCGGTCAGCCGCCCGCGCACACAGGAGCCAGTCTCTGGGCCACTTGACATGCCCCGTGCCCTCCGTCCCAGTGACCCCTGGCTGGCTCTCATAGGGATCTTGGGCGCCTGAGAGGGTCCGGAGTTGGGGTGAGGGGAAACTCCTACATCCGCGCTCAGGGGAACTTGCCCCCACGGGACCCCCTCCTCGTTTCACCCTTCGAGCAAGCATGATTCGGAGAAAGGAATCTCCCAAGGAGAAAAGATGGGAGGGGTCTTGAGAGCCGGTGCCCTGGTCAGGGGTTCGCTCCAACCCCCATATGCGTGGGACTCTGGGTCTCACTCTCCCTTGGGCAGGACCCAGGGCAGGGTCCAGGATGACCTGCAAGGCGCAGACAGATGTGGAGTTACATAAGGGAAGATGGGGAACCAGCGAACCCAGCCGGGAAGGGAGCGTGCCCATCCTGAGCTCAGGGGACCGTAGGCTGGGGGAAAGAAAGCGCCCGTCGGCCTGGCACCCAGCCTCGGGGTCCCCCCGGTGGACAGCGCGGTCGGGAGGTCGCTGCTGCGGGGACAGACGAGGTCACTGCCCTCCCGGCGCAGCTAAGGCGGCGCGCTGCGTTAGCGCCTGCGGGAGGGGCTGGGGGGAGAGCGGCAGGAGGGAGCGCCCCCTCCCCCAGGCATAAGCGCTCGGATAGACTGGGTCAAGGACGAGACACAGCGAGACAGACAGACACGCCCGTAGGCAGACACACAGACACCCACAGACCAGGGAAACAGCCACCCAGCGTCAGGCTGAGGACCCACGAACGGCAGTTAGACACACACACATCAGACAGCAGACAGCGAGGGAGCACAGCCCGAGGGAGAGGGAAGCAGCGACTCCGCTCAGTCGCCAGCGGCGCACATCCGCGGAAGCCTCAGAACAGAAGGGCGCGTCTGCGCATGGGGGTAGGGACGGGAGGCTGGGGGAGGGGCTGCAGAGGGACCCTAGGTGCTGGCAGACACGGGCACCCCCACATTTACATCAGCTTCCTGATCAAGCTGGGACATATTCCTCCTCTAGCCCTGAGGTGCTTTAGAAACTTTGGGGAGTGAGGGGTACTGGGCTCCCTGTCCTCCTTCCCCAAGGCTGACTGCAGGGAGGAGACCCTAGCCCCTCACCCCAGCCCCAGAGGATGCGTGATGATTCTATGACTTCTTGCAGCTTGCGCTGTGGGAGAGCTGTTGAGACTCCAGCTCACCACCTGACACCCAAGCCCTCTCTCAGTACCTCCCCACTACCAGCAGTCTTGCTCTTTTTTTTTTTTAGTCTTGCTCCTCTTACAGGCTCCCTCAGCTCCCCCTGACTGCACCCCAACTTGCATGGTGCACCAGGCTGTCCCAGGAGCAAGCTGATGGGTAGACAAGCCGAGGCAGAGAGCTCATGGAGTGGGCAGCCAGGTGCTCCCGCCGACCAAGCCTTCCTGCATCACTGGTGCTGGGTGAGGGCCTCGCGTCCCTGTGCTCAGCCGTGGCCATCCCAGGGCTGGCTCTGGCCAGTCGTGCTTCGTGGGCACACCCCCACCCCTTCCCCGGGTCTCCAGAGATGGAGTTGGTTTTGGAGAGGGCTCTAGCCCTCTCCTCACTGGCTGGGAGCCTGTTCCCCAGCCTCAGCTGCTGTCCTGGGTGGAGGGCTGAGTCGGGGGGTGTCTGAGCGGAGGGCAACCCCTTTACAGACTCAGTCAGGCTCCATGTGGTGTCTGTGTTCTCCAGCTTTCCCTGGTGGTCTCACACCACAGAAGCTGGAGCAGGGATGTGATGGGGGGAGGTGGACTCAGCTCATACCCTGGCACTGGGGACCCAGCTGTGTGCCTTGGGGGAGTTACTCAGAGTGTGGAGACTTGGAAAGGAGGCCATCGGAAGAAGGAAAGCCACAGCTGGCCCAGAGGTTGAGGGTGACCGTGGCTGTGGGCGGCGGGCGCCCCCTACTGGCACATACACGCATGACCTCATGAGCCCCCGCGTTCACCCTACAAGGTAATAGGACCAGCAGCCTGCACGGAGCCCAGGAAGCCACCAGCCCAAGTCACACAAGGACAGAGGCCCTTCTCTTGAGGGCCACACTCCTGGCCCAGCCCTGAGATCAAGGCCTCTGAGGTCACCAAAGGTACCAACTCTTGGGGCCTTGACTTTGGGTGGACGGGAAACTAGAGTCCTCTGTGCTGGGCCCAACTTGGCCAAGGCAATTTGGAATGAATGAGGCAGGTCCCCACGTGGCTGCCCACAGAGCCTCCTGCCTTGAGGTCTCTGTCCCAAGGAGGGGTATTCAAACCCCAGGATGGCAAGGAACCCCCTCCCCAAGACACTGGGAAAGGCTGGCTGAGGGTAGCCAACCTCTTCTCAGCTCACCAGGACATCCTCGGAGATTATGGCCTGCAGCTTGAGTTTCTCCATTTATCAAAACAGCCAGCATTTGGGATTCAAAATGTCCAATCCAACAAGGAAACAATGTCCTGACCACATAAGCCCTAGATTAGAGAAATCAGGCCCCCTGCAAGCCCTCACGGAGGAGAGGCCTGTTCACTAACTGGCTGATTCATTCATTCATCCACCCAACAAGGTTTTATTGAAGATGAAAGTGTTAGTCGATCCGTCGTGTCCGACTCTTTGTGATCCCATGGACTGTAGCCCACCAGGCTCCTCTGTCCATGGAATTCTCCATGCAAGAATACAGGAGTGGGTTGCCATTTCCTTCTCCATGAAAGTTGCTCAGTCGTGTCTGACTCTTTGCGACCCCTCATGGAATTCTCCAGGCAAGAATACTGGAGTGGGTAGCTGTTCCCTTCTCCAGGAGATCTGCATCACAGGCAGATTCTTTACCAGCTGAGCTACCGGGAAAACCCAGGTTTTACTGAGCTCCTACTAAATATCAGGGAACTTCCCTGATGGCTCAGTGGTAAAGAATCCACCTGCTGATGCAGGAGATACAGGAGACGTGGGTTTGATCCCTCAGTTGAAGATCCCCCTGGAGAAGGAAATGGCAACCCACTCCAGTACTCTTGCCTGAAAAATCCCATGGACAAAGGAGCCTGCCAGGCTACAGTCCATAGGGTTGCAAAGAGTCAGACATGACTGAGTGACTAAACATCAACAGAATATCAGAGTATAAAGCATTCTGATACAGGGAGGCAAGCGTAACACAGGAGTTAAGCAATGAGTGTGTCAATAGCCGTGCACTCCAGGGAGAGAAAAGACCCCAGGCAGGGGACGGAGGGTGCCAGGACAGGGTATTTGGGGGCCACCGCTGCCTCCCTGGCATTTTGAGCCCCTTGGACCCAGGGATCAATGGTCAAGAGGAGGGCTTTCAGTTCTGTTAGGGCTAATTAGCCCCAGTCAGCAAGGGGAGGTGGCGCTGCTGGTACAGAGTAACCAGGAGATATGCGGGATCAGGGCTCTCCTGGCACTGTGGTAACTCTCACAGGAAGGCCTCTGAGACCTACAGAGGTGACAGCAAGGAGGATGTGGACTGGAAAGTGGAGGTTGGAGGGGCTGAGTACCAGCTGAGGCCCCGAGACCAGCCGCAGCACAGGGCTGTCCGCCTCCCCACCACCGCACAGAGCTGAGCTGCTCAGAGGCCCCTCCACAGGGATGTTGCTAAGAGAAGGGCAGGTGACGCCCCCACCGAGACCAGCCTCTTTTCGGGCATCTCCCCAGTGGCCGTGGTACAGACTTCTGTGTGTCTGCTCTGAGGCTCACTGTGCTGGCCGCCCCGCACTGTCCCCGGGCAGAGGCTCTGCTTCCAACTGCCCCACTGGAAGACCTTTCTCCATGGGACCGCCTGCCCTGGGCTGGTGCCCACAGAGCCCTGCCCTGCTGCGTGGTGACACAGCCCACTAATGAGAAATAATGAGGACAGTGGAGCCGCCAGTGACCCGCTGCGGGCAACTGTCCTGCTCTCCAGCCAGAGCGCATTTGCCAGGGTGCTTGTCAGCACTCTGGGGCCAAGTGCTGTGACTCCTCTTCGCTTTCACTCATTCTGCAGAAGCTCATCTGAATATGGGAATGCAGATTTTTCTTTTTCTTTTTTTTTCTCCTGGTGACATTCTGAGTCAGCTCAGGCTGCGTCCTGATGAGCTCAGGGCCCGGGTGTGATCAGGATGGCTCCTGAGGCCACCGCTTTGAAAGAAAAACTGAGTGTTCTGTCTTCGGGGACAAGACTGAACTGGGCCCAGGGCCCTGGTGGCAGGAAGGAGGAGAGGACAGGAGAACGTGGAAATAGTTTTGGATTGGCTGCAATGACACAAATCAACTCAAAAAAGCCTGAGGAAAAGGCGTATTTATTGTTGGCCAAGGCTGAAAAGTCCAGGACTGGGTTTCAGACAGAGCTGCATCCAGGAGCTCAAATACCGACTTCTTGTCTTTCCCCTGTGTTCACCTCATTCCTAGGAGTGAGCGTTCCCCTGAGATCTCTTCCCTGCAATTCCAGGCTGCTCTCCTGTGCTCTCATCTACTC